CCCCAAAACCCCAAAACCCCAAAACCCCAAAACCCCTTTGGGAATTAAAAAAATTGAAAATAATCTTTTTACATGGAAACTAGAAGTAGTAGTGCTATCAAGAACTTGGAGTTCCAGCCTATGGAATTTAGTGATGATGAGAATTGATCATTGAATGAGCTTGATGTTCAACCAGAGGTGATAGATCAAGCCCTAAGAGACCCTAACTGAATAATCTCCCAAGCTGATAGGGAGATGCCGATAAGACTCCATTCTGACCAGGAGGTCCCAGAGTATCCTCCAATCCCACCAATCCTACTCGGTTTGCCTCTTGATGATGCTCCTATTGAAGAAGAAAGCGAGCCTGAAGAAAGCGTTAGTGAAGATGACAATGAAAGCAGTAAGAAAAAATCTAAGAAGTCCAAGAAAAGAGCTAAAAAGAAGGCCAAGAAGAAGGCAAAGAAGGAACGCAAAAGAAAGAGGAAAGAAAAAGAGAGAAAGAAGAAGCTAGAAGAGGCCAAAATGATGGACTCTGCTGCAGTCAAACAGGAAAGAGAGGACTATGAAAGGACTAGAAATTTGTTCATCAAAACTTTTATCAAGCACAAACTGAACAAAGCTGCTCAAGGAGCGATTAGTAAGGAAGCAGTGAAGGAATGCCTTACTAAATCTTCCATCAAATCTCTCAGAAATGAAATCATGTGTGCAGTTTGCCAGGATATTATCAATGATCCAGTAATGTTAATGACTTGTGCTCATAGATTCTGCAAGGAATGAATCGAAACCCACATCAGAGTTAGCAAAAAGTCATGCCCCATATGCATCACTCCCATAGAGACTCGACGGATCATGCGTGACGACAAAAAGATCAACGGATTATGTAAGTAAATTATAGTGAAACTGCTCAAAGCAGACTTTGCATTTATCAATGAAGAAGACGAACAGGAGAAAGAAACCTATAGTAAAGCCATCATCAAAGAGCAATCATTGATCAATGAAATCAAGAAGAGGCAGATCAACGACCAGAAGAACATGCATAAGAAGAAGACTAATCGCGGCAAGAAGAAGAGTAAGTATCTTTATATCCCTCACCTATCTATTTGCTTAACACATATCTAACTGTTTATATAGAAACTAGAGCAGGGGAGAAAACTGCAGAAGAGAAGGAAGCAGAAAAAGTAGTCTCTGAGGAGAACTACAACAGGCGCCCTGATAATGACATCACTATTTTACAAGATGACTACCAGTTAAAGAAGTATAAACTGGTTCCTAGAATGGTAAGAATTTATTAAACTAACATTATAGAGAATCGTAGTTAACGGACTATGTCCAATCCTGTACCTCGGAAAGTATGTAGCTTATAAGAACAAATTCGATATAATCATTTGGCCCAACATCCAATTCTTTATGGCTTGTGGAGACAAGCTCAGAAAGGTTAAGCACATCGACAGAATCGATCAAGTGAAGGAAAAGTTTGGGATAAAGGGAAACAAGCTCACAATTTACTACAGAAAAATAGTGACAAAGTCATATCCAAAGTATATGAATATGATCCAAAACACTACTCAAAATATGCGTCCTTACAATGGCGTGAATAAGCCTCCTGTTGCTAATCCTGATATCAATATCGGCAACAAAGACCTCTTCTCAACCGAGGCTCCTACTGCCCAACTTGTCAAAAAGGAGGATTTAGCCCCTAAGCAAGACGATCCAATCGAAGCAATGACCAACCAAGAGAGGATCAACCAGCTCAACAACGTAGGAAGTTCAAGCAAGCTTGAAAACTGTCTTGGCGATTTATTCAAATAATTTACTATAATTTCAATAAATTCTTAAAAAAATGGGGTTTTGGGGTTTTGGGGTTTTGGGG